TGTCTTAAAAAAATAAAAAGAAAAGAAAAGAAAAAACTGGTTAATTGATTTTACAATAACGAGGATGGTAATAATGAATAAATCAAAAATGATAAATAAAACGGGACTTTTAGCCAGGTTATCACGAAATAACAAAGGAAATCGGACACACGCGACTGACTCCCGAGGTCTTCAAGCAGCACCGAAGCTTAGCTCATACCGGCCCATGAACGATAATGGCTCAATATATCTTGTTTTATCTCAAGACAGGTTCCTACGAGAATGTCGCGTCCCCCTCCCCCACCCCACGCTCCTTCACCCTCCCCCACCCCACGCTCCTTCACCCTCCCCCACCCCACGCTCCTTCACCCTCCCCCACCCCACGCTCCTTCACCCTCCTCCACCCTACCTTCCTTCACCCTCCCCCACCCCACGCTCCTTCACCCTCTCTCTCCACACCCTCCTTCTGCTCCTACCCCCCCCCCTCCCTTCCTTTGCTCTAACCCCCCCCCAACTCTCCCCAACATCCACCTAACGAACCTTCTGGTCTTCGCTTCTTCCCTCCTTCCCTGATTCTATCTTTTCCTATTCCTCTCTTCTCCTCCTTCTGTCTCCTCTTTCTCTCGTTCTTGAGCTTACTCACTCAAATAGTTGCAAATAGGAAGAAGCAAAGTTGGGGAAAGGGAAGGTGGGCGAGTGGGTAAGGTGGGCGATGCGAAGGGAAGGCGAAGGCGCTGGGAGAGGGATAGGGGGAGGGGAGAGGGGGAGAGGGGGGGAGAGGGGGGGTAATATGATCCATTGCACAGCGGGGAACGTTATTGCAGCTGCAGACACCGGTCTTATTGCGTAACTTTGTTCTGCCCCGAAAAGCGATGTGTGGTAAGAGATGTTTCCATTTTTAGGGATTTCAGCTCCTTTTTCGTATAAGGGTTTGTACATTTACGTGTATGCATAGTGTACATAGATAGACATACAGGCTAAAAGACAGACAGACACACTTATATATATATATATATGTATATATATATATATATATATATATATATATATATATATATATATATATATATATATATGTGTGTGTGTGTGTGTGTGTGTGTGTGTGTGTAAAGAAAGAAAGAAAGAGAGAGAGAGAGAGAGAGAGAGAGAGAGAGAGAGAGAGAGAGAGAGAGAGAGAGAGAGAGAGAGAGAGAGAGAGAGAGAGAGAGAGAGAGAGAGAGAGAGAGAGAGAGAGAGAGAGAGAGAGAGAGAGAGAGAGAGAGAGAGAGAGAGAGAGAGAGAGAGGAAAGGATAACTGGGTATAAGCAAGAGCAGGAAACCCATCTCAAGCGCAGCCTGGTACAGTGTCTGGCGAAATTCTGAACACAGCAATATCCATAACTGCCACTTAGATAACTGCTTCTCTCCGTGTCTCTAACACACCTTCGCTTGGACAAGAAACACACACACACACTCAAACACACAGACATACACTCACTCTCTCACACACACACACACACACACACACAACACACACACACACACACACACACACACAAACACACACATAAAAATCAACAGACAAAAATACACACACACACACACACACACACATAAAAATCAACAGACAAAACACACACACATATAAAACAAATACAAGAGCACCCATGCACACAAACAAACACATACTGAATATAACGCAAACAAGACCACCACGAAGTCGAATATAGATGAGGTATTCCCTTTGTTCTAACTGTTATGACTTGTTAGTAACAGCTGTTGAATTATTGGAAGCAGGTCAATGTTACAGCCTCCCTGGCATTTATGGGTATTGTTGCCGTGTGAGTTATGACGACTGTAGGTCCGTTTGTCTGTGGGAGACTGCCTGACCTGTTGTGGCCTGCTTTGACCTGCTGTGACCTGTTTTGAGCTGCTGTGACCTGCTTTGATCTGTTGTGACCTACTTTCTTTCTTTTGATGGGATGTTAGTTTTTCTCTCTTAGTAATCTTTCGAGAAAGAGCTATGGAAATGGAGGAAAGGAAGGAGATTGTAGAGGAAATGGAAAAGGGGAAAGGGGACAAGAAAAGGGAGAAGAAGAAGGAGGAGGAGATGTGGGAGGAGGAGGAGGAGGAGGAGATATAGATTGAAAAAAGGAAGTAAGGAAAAGTGGAAGGAAGAAAAGAAGTTGAAGAAAAGAAAAAAAAAAGAGAAAAGTGGCAAGAAAGGGAGGAGGAGGAAGAGGAAGTGGAAGAAGAGGAGGAGGAAGATGAGGCGGAGGAGGGGGAGAAGGAGGAGAATAAGGAGGAAGAGAATGAAAAGATGAAGAAGAAGAAAAGAAGAAAGAGGAGAAGGAGGGAGAGAGGAAATATACATGATATTATACAAAAAGATACAAAATTCCTACTATCTGCAATGTACAGAAAGTTGATACTCCTATTTTGCTTTTCCTTACTTATGGTAAAAGCGAAAATCCAGGAAAAAAAGTGAAAGCCAAGAATGAACTCTGGTGTCGTTATAATTCACTTTCGCAGCAGGGAAGCCAATTCTTTTTGAATTCAATCTTTTGGAACGACAAAATGAAGTCTCAAAAAAAAGAAAAAGAAAGAAAAAAAAGATGACACCAACCTGTGGCTGCTGACAAATTTTATTCCGCAAACCTGCTCTTAACATGTGATTCACAGCGACATCTCACAGTGTCTATAACAGTTACCGAGCTCCATAACTATAGGCGGAGGGTCGTGCATTATGACTCAGGCGAGGAAGAGGCGCGAGGATCTTGAGTGAAATGGCCGTCAGGGAAGCTGCGGACGGTGTAGGTTGTTGACAAACTTGACA